TACATAAATTCTGTTATAACTCATTTTATCAGCTCAAGGTACAGACATAGTCTCTTACTTTTCACATAATCTTTCCAGTACTCATTTGTCATTATTAATAGGAAGCCCAGTGTTTCCCTTTTCATCCTCTCCTTCCCTCTCTAGCCACCTCCTTTTTTCTAAGAATCCTAGATGATTTGATCAAGCTCATTTAGCCAAGTAAAAGCACTTAGTACAGGGAGCACTAGTGGGTCTGATGAATTCAATGAACCCATTGCTTTTCCTTCTGGCTCAAAGTGTCACTTTTGAACATGGTCCTGCATCTGTCATTATCTGCTCTAGTGATACCATTGATGGCCACAATGATGAGTGATCTTTGCCGGGCCACAATGATGTCCCACTTTTGGGTTCTAAACTATAAGCTTGAATTTACAATTACCAGATCATTACTGTTCCCTGTGACACACTGTGCATGGGGATTTGGCATGTAAAATGATGTTGGGTCACTTGCTTGTGATGGAAACTGTCCTCAGAAACTAGCCTGCAGTTTCCTGTGTTGAGCCCTGTTCTCCAACACAAACTGCCTTTCTTCATATTAAGCTGACACATGGGACTTTCCTGTTCTTTCCCACCAGGTGAAATTGGGTAGTTGATCCTAGTAGCCTTTCCTAAACCTAAAAATCTGCAAGGAAGCACATTCTTTTTATGTCAGCACATCCCCGTCTCAGTAGTTCCCTGGGATCATTATGGCAATTACCTGACCTCATCTTCATACTGCACATACAAAGGGATGGGTAGCTTCTATTAAAACACAGAAAACAATTTTAGAAAGAAGTCTTGTTGCACTGCTTTACTAAGGTATATTTATTTTCCCAAAATAATGAAAATCTACTTTAAGGAGGCTTGCTTCATTTCTAAACAGGGTGCGCTTTAAAATAGTTTCCTTTAAAAAAAAAAAAACAGCACCTCATTACATGTCTTAAGTTCTTCAGCAAGCTAAATCCAGTCTCTGGGTAATCTGTTCTGCTCTACTAAGCTGTAACATCATAATACATTTTAACATTTAGTAAGATTTAAACTGTATAAATGTTTTTTTTGTGTGTGAACTAATCTAAAATACTTTTAAAAAAATTTTTCATTAGATCATCCTAAAAAATGTGCAGTTGATATTCCTATGCGCTTAAATGATAATCCATTTTGCTATCAAATGTTACATCTGACTGGAGAGGTAAAATCACCCAAGTTACTGTTTGACCCTCCATTTATATTTTTCACTCCTGTTCCTTTGGATATAACAACTGTGATGGATATCAACATTTTACCCCAAAACTATTTCAGGTAAATAATGTGAATTTACCACATCTTCTTTATGTGCTTTTTGTTTGTATGTGTGTTATACAGTAGTTATAAATAATGTCTGACTTGTTTCTATAGTTGTGAAGAATTATGAAAATATTCAACTGTACATTGAAATTAAACCATACCCCCAAACCCCTCTTAGTTATCTTACAGTTGGTCATTGAAATTTCTTGCAAAATTTTTTTGGTGCATCTCTCTGCATGGTATAAGAAGCAAGCTTAAAAATTCAATGTATTAGTTTTCTATTGCTATGTGACAGATTACCACAAATTTAGTGTTTTAAA